ACACTTGGCGACACTTGGCGATTGATTGACTCAGTGTTACTTTTTTTTTTTTAATATAATACACTTGGCTAATTAATAATCAAGTGTTAGTACAACGAACGGAGCATTTCTCTCAACTCGATTCAAGATTTAAAACTCTTGGCGGTGGGGAGTCCTCCATGTTGTATATTGCTACTAAGTCAAAGGCATCGGTGCCTCGGAAGATCTCGATCTCCTGTTGTTGAGGGAATTATGCACCTAAAAAAATCAAGTCCATATTTTTTTTGTTTACTTTAAATCTCCTTGAAGTCGTATTTTCCAGCTGCCTAATTTTTGTTCACACAAGGAAATGTCATCTGGTAGTTGACCTTCGGCAAAATAATAATAATAATAATAATAATAAAACACTAAAGAAAGAAAAAGAAAAATAATAATTAACCTGGATATGAGACATTGCATCTCTAGAATGACACTTTGACAGATAATCTCCTCCAATTATTTTGAAAAAGGAAGAAAAAATTGCGTAACTTGAAAAGAAAGCAAAATCCATCCTCATATTGTGAAGATTACATATATTTGAACAATTACTAGAATCCTAATGGGTTATGATAATGAAAGTTGATGATACCAATAATATATAGTAAAACAGGAAGACAACAAGAATATTTTCTATATTTAATTCACAGGCGCAATGGGCCTGTGGAACATGTCTGGGGAATTCTGGCTTCAGACCTGAGCTAAACGACGGATATCAATCGGGTAAGCATCAGACGGAGACTCAGCACTGTATGATCTCCTTGCAATGATGGTATTTGCAGCCTCAGATGGATGGTAAGCATCCCAAAACACATACTCTTTCCTGTTCTGGCATGGAGTTTGATAAGGCAAGCATGTAATTTGCCCATTATTCCTTCCTACCCCACAGCATCCAGCATTTGTAACTCTAAACCCTGAAACCAAATTGAAATTTATATGAGATTGCAGGAAATCACAAACATAATAGTTTTGAACAAACAGAGGATGAATGTTTACCGTAAGTTGATGGCCTGCTTATCATGTCCTGGAAAATCCCATATGCATTGATGTAGATAAATTTTGCGTCAGAATTATTGTTATTGAACTGATCCACAAGGGCTTTGAGCCTGTTGTTGAAGATCTCGTTAGCAGAGTTGATTCTTGCCACACAAGTTCTCCCATCCTGGCTGTTCTGAGCCAATTCATTTGGACTGCAACCTATCGCACCCACTCCAATCAATGCGAATTTCCTAGCCCCATAGTTGTATAAAGCCTGTAGCTGCTCGGTGTATTGTTGAATGAGAACATCAGCGTATTGCTCCGGTGTGTAGCGGCTGCCAGTGTTGTAATAGAGGGGCATGAAATAGTTGTTAAGGTAATCGTTGCTTCCCAATCCAATGGAGTATATGCACTTGCTTAGGTAATTTGCCGCTGTGTTTTCGTCCCCTAGAATATTCACCACTTGAGAGACAGTGTTCTGGTAATTTTTAACCTGTCCGCTGAAACTAATCCGACCTCCCTGGAAAAATAACAAAAAAAGAACATAATCAACGGACTGAGTAGAGAAATGTTGAACGCAACACCTAACTTTCAGAACAGCTTCTCTATCTCAGAGCTGATTTTAACTTCCAAATGTTACACTTCCAAGTTTAATCAAATTTATTAACATTCAACATAGCTCAATTTGTACCCAACTTCATCTCTTTAGTAACTATGCTATTTTATCAAAAAAATTACCCATATATATATCACAACTCTTAATTTTAATATTATTATTATTTTTTTGGCCATGTGTACAATATTTTGCCACATCATCCTATAACAGTGAATTAACAGCATAGGTAATGAGATTTTTAACGGAAGAATCAAATTAGGGTAAAAATAGTAAACAGTAGGGACTAAATCAGGGATTTTTTAAATTTAGGGACTTAATCGGGAGTCCATACAATAATTGAGGGACCAAAAAAAAAAGGGTTTAACCTATCTGAAAATGCTCACTCCCACGAAGAATGCTGTCAGATGGTGAAACTGGACTGGATTTGAATTGATAGCCCAAACAGGGACTT